AGAAGCAGTAGTAGTACTAGTAGTACTAGTACTAGTACTAGTACTAGTACTCGTACTCGTACTCACTGATACCAGTATGACTATTGCTGCTTGTATTGACACCAGTTTTTTGGTCTTGCGATTCGCAATCTTACTCTCTGTACGTACTCTTATTGCGGTGCGTGTTCCTATCGCCGGTTTGAGTTGCAAGCGGCTGCCCTAAGTCCTACGAGTGGCGTCTCAGACCTGGCAGCCACGGCGACCCGGGCCCGGGCCCCCGATGTTCGGGAAGGGCTCGCCTCGGTTGGGACTTACACGACTGGATTCGAGGGATTAGAAGTTCTGGCTGTCTTTCTGGCTTGAGGGGTCCAGGGCTTCAGGCTTGAGACTTTAGGCGTTACTGTAAGGGTTCCGGGGCATCCAGTAGTCTGGAAGTGCTGCAGGCTCCAGACGGTCCGCCTGCTAAACCGCATGGGCAAGCGGGTGTCCTTCGCCATGTGTCATGCGGATAATGGCAGTGTGACTCTTCTGCAATCAGCTTTCCAGGACCTGGGTGATTGGATGATACTGAAGAGGGAAGAGTGGTCGCGAGCTGCTGGAGTCTGTCAATTTCTTGGTTTTGCTGCCGCGAGACCCCCATACTAGACCCCCACACTGCACCTGCCTCGCTGAAGCTGAGAGCCGTACGCTTTGCCTTGCTGATGCCTGCGCCCGCCGCTGCTCACTCACGCGAACTACAAGCCGCTGGCAGCAGCCTCTGAGCCCGGATCAAACTCTGCAATGTTGTTTCTTGTCAGCTTACTGCCTATGCGCTGCTTATATAGTACGTCCGTGATCCTCTAAGCATCAGGGCACCATTTTCCGGGCACTTTGACCCAAGCACGTCCAGCCTTTGGGAAGCTCGTCGTCGTCGTTGGCCATGTCGCTGAGCGTCTCCATCGCAGGCTCGAAGAAGATAAGGTCCTGGGACTTGATTCTGGGTCGAGCACATAGGGATAATGCACAAGGCGTGTACAGTATCAATGGGTCGAGGGTTTAAGAACTTTGGATTCAGAGTTGAGGGTGACTCTCATACAAAAGAGAGAGGGAACCACAATATCGCAGACAGTCTTCCCAGCCTGTAGGACCTAGGAAGCTACAAGGGATCGTGTCCCAAGTTCAAGCAAAAGCCCCGCTTCCAGAAGGCACCGTCCCACGTGCCTCCTGCCGAGAATCGTCCTCCTCCGCCATACTGGAGGCCCGGTCGGTGGCATTGGCTCGGAACATGGGCCTCTCAGAAGACTGCAGATTAAGAAATACAACAACACTGACTTCAGTTCTGTCGTAGTTTGGTTTCCGGGCCTATGGGTTAACAGGGCTTGGGTGCCTGAGAGATGCCATCTTGCCAGACCCGTACTGCCACTGCCACTTGCGTGGCTCTTGCTCGTCATGCTTTTCTCTGTGGTTATGTGATCATTATCATCATCATCATCATCATCATGAAAATGTTCCTGTCCCCTCTACCCATCCAACATCGAAGAAGCGCTTGGTAAGTGCTCGCCGAGGCCCCGATAAGCACGCAGCACAGAGTTGTTAAAAAAAAAGATGAACCCCTAAACCCCTAAAGCCGAAACCGCCAGAGTGCTTATCAAGCGCTTGCTGAGAGCTCGGCGAGCGCTGACAGCTAGCCAGCACATGAGTGGTTCTATCAATGTGAGTCTCGTCTTGTTTGCTTCTAGTCGTACTTGTTAGTATTGGCTGGTTGCCATCGTGGTTTGCAATAGTTATATTAAACTTGTTGCTTGCGCTCGTGGGCATAGTTTCGACCGTTGTTAACGTGTCCAACCGGCCGGTACTGTCATTGCTGCTGCCTCTGTCAACTTAGTGTGTGGATGTTAAGACTCTGTTAAGACTGCCGCGACCTTGCGATTCTCGGGCTTAGAGGTGTTAGAGAAACCTTCACGGTCTTCACGCGCAACCTCAAGCCCGAGGTCCTAAACTGTGAAGCCGCAACCCTTCAAACAAAAACACCGAAAACTCGACAGCCTCAACCCGAAAGAGCTCAGCTTTGTAAGCCCTTGGCAAGCTGCGGCTCTGAAGGAGCTGTGAGTTCGAGATGTCCTCGCTTGCTCTGAGAGCTCTTGGCTCGTGAGGCGGCTTGGTATGGATTCAGGGTTTGCTATGTTTGTACCGGCTTATGAACCATGAAATGTGCGTGTGTGTGTGTGTGTGGTGTGTGTGTGTGTGTGTGTGTGTGTGTGTGTGTTGGTGTGTGTTGGTGTGTGTCTGTGTTGGGGTGTGTGTGTGTGTGTGTTGGTGTGTGTGTG